AGCAAAGTTGCACTAGCTCTTACCTTATTGTAAGCATTTGAACTGGCATTTCTAACACCATTGCTGCTATCCATGTAGGTTTTTACCTGGTTCTCACTGCCTATAGTCGATATCTCAGATGTAGAAACTCCGCACCGTTTTCCTGAATACTTTTCAGGCTTAATCAAACTGAAATGTTATAAATTCGTAATTACTTATTTATTCCATATAACATTTTGAATAAGAAATTAACTAGTACATTACCTGGGGTATTGTGGTCCAAATTGCGTATAACAGCAATTGTGTAAGCAACCATGAGAAAAAGGATTGTAGCCTCCATTAAATTTACCCGTTACCTGTTCATTTGTCGTACGTCCTCTGGAAACGAGTACTACGTGAAAGCCAGTCAGTCCAAAGATTGGAATGAACAAAAGTATAACCACTCCCATAAGTACAAGTCTATTTTAAATTTAAGGATTATAAAATACAGTCATGTTTTAGCAAAGAGATGTATCACTTAAAACTAATTGCAGCATCTCATAAGATTGCAATTATTAATTTAGGAAAAAAGGATACGCCACAATAGTATCCACTTCACCCAACTGTTGCTTACGTTCCAATACAAAATATAGGCAAAGTCCAAATATACTGAGCATATGAAAACTAAGTGACAGGAGAAAGAAAAAAAAGAACCTGTAATTCCTCCTACCAATACAATTATTTACCCATGGGCAGTGATGATCGAATGTCTGAAAATATAAAAAGAAAATTAGACTTTCATACAATAGAATCATTCAAATTACATTGAGAGTATACCTCGATACAATGATTGCACACGCTGCAATGTGAACAACGTGGAGGTCTGTAAAATTTGCATGTAACACACCATTTCATACGAACTGTAATGCCATTGATTTCTACATTTTTATATAATGGAGCATGGAAATCATCTTCTCTATCCTCGTCAGGAGGTGCTTTAAAAGAAAATCATGCTACTTCAGGAACTATGTTTTTGTAAATTGTATTTGTAAAACTTGCACTTCACATATAAACATACCTTTTGGAATAACACCTGGATCCATAAATGTTGCTAGTGTAAAATTTGCCAAAACAAAAAAGGTAATGACTCCTTGAAGAGCAGGTACCCATGTCCCCCATCGAAACACGTAATATTGACAGCTAGAAGATCCAAGTAATACATAGTGAACACACGTCTTAACAAAAAATTGGTATATTCTTAAGAACGAAAACAGGAGCGCAAACACTGCGGCCACTCACGAGAAGGTAGACATGTGTGCGGAACTTACGGAAAACAGAAGAAGAGTGTCGTGGTGCTTAATAGGGCTGTCCAGGCAAACGTAGCTGGTAGATACCTTGTCTTTACATCGCATTTCGGCATTCTGTACACTCCACTTCGTGGTCGACGATTAACGAATTATTAATGGGTAAGATTTCTGCTACCAGAAAACATGGCCGCGTCCATCGGCACTGCTTATTTGCAAATTGCGCGATCCGTATTTAGCACGGATTTCCATTCGCGCTATGCCTGTACATCCGTGGCATTTCGATAGTCTATCCGTCTATTACACGCGCGTCACTTCAGTAAAAACATCCGTAACGTAATTAATATTTAAGCACTTCTGCATACACGATCCGCGAACACACTACCTTGCTGACATAGATATATATGTATATAGATATATATAATATACATATATACATTCATGTATATATCGTGGCCGGACAGTGAGCCGTGCCCCCTCTAATACAAGCGTTCCACAATACGATCCATCAAGACCTTACGGTTCACTTTCACGAATCACCATTCTTCCCTGTCTATAGAAGCGCAATCTCAGCTTAATGTAGTCATATGTAGCTTAACGTCGCTGCATGCGATATTTCCAAACCTTTGCAATTTCGAATTTCGTATTTACCGACAGAAAATATGTATTCTTTTTAAGAAAAACTTTCTTACCGACGATTCTAGGGAACTCTAAGCGCTAAAGGAAATTATTTCTACCGATCCATTTCCTTCCAAATGACCCATTTTTTCTCAAATCGTTATAGCAAATTCATTCAAATCTTGATTGAGTACATATTCAAACAGTATTATTAATACATAAATTGATCTTCTTACACACTTTTTTCTAATAAACTGTCTACAAAAAGTTAGACGATGTTCCATAAATCTTATTTCAAAATATAATAATTGATCAAGTTTTTCTTCTAAATATAGGCATTGATTTTTAAATTTCTTCATTCGATATGTATGTTCATTTGTTAATGGATTTATCAATTTTTTAATCAATGTTATTGAATCATCAAATTGATTTGAATATTTAAGTTCTTCAAATCTCATCTCTAAAAGTATGGAGAGGATGATTCTACTTATGGAATAGGAATAAATTAAAATAAATTTTCTTTTAATAAGTTTCATGTTACGAAATAATTAAATATACGTATTAATTTTAATTATACTATTCATATATGTGTTGCATGCACATAGACTATAACGTGTAGAATTTATGTATATGATCATAAATGCATTGGAATAGAAAATATTTCCATAAAAATTCTTTTCTAGAGTATCGCGTGAAAACGAGAATTAGCTTAAATTTCATAATAGCGAGCAAAAAACTGTCAAGGAAGGACCGTTGCGGCGGCACTATATTAGGAAGTATGGCAGGGGGCCAACCAGATGACGAACTACAAAATAGCAAGAAGAATCCCATCGATACGAATCATCTAGAACGGATAATATGTTTCACACACACCCGTTTGATACATTCGACATGTTTCGCTAATTTGTATCGATACAGTTTAAGCTAAGTTATCACGTCCATGCATTAAATGCTTATTGCTAAATTCATGGTTTTCGGATTGAAATACAGTCTACTATTAACGATGCTTTACCACCCACGTCGTACATTTAAGAATCAGAACAGAATTATGCCACATACCAGAGAACTTTGTTATATAAACTCGGTTATTATTTAACTTTTACAATCAAGAATCCATTTCCAAATGAATTTCGCTACTTCATAGCGATCTAAGAATATTTCTCTTTTGCTTGTTAAAAACAGTGCATTTTATAATCCGCGAACACTATTATAAGAAATTGTATTAGAGCAATAATGGATATCTTATGTAAGACCACTACTCAAATTAGAGACACACAAAAATTTAAAGAAACATAGTTTATCATAGCGCTATAAATATTTCAACCTTTTCAAATTTAAGAAATATATGTGCAATCTGATAGACAGAGGGAATAGACCTAAAAAGTAAATCCTTGGAATTTTCTTTCGTAATTATGCAATTATAACATTAAAAAACAGAATTCGACGTATAGATTGACTAAACTGCAAGAAAGATTGCAGATAATATGATATTCCGTTAACGCAACGTTGGTCCTTAATGACTTTTTTCATATCAGCGACACGAAATAATCTGTTATCTTCGTTGCTCTCCTAATCATTACTTATCGTAACGTGTCTTCTGAAACTGAACAGCGATAGAAGTTATCCTCGGCTGAAGTTTGCAAGCGACTTGCAATAATGATCCAACGCTACATATACTATATGGAAGATTTTACATAATAATTTCAAGCGAAGCTCGATCTGTATGTGCCAATGAGATAAAAATGGAAGAGATGTTATTATTAGGAGAATTGATTTTTCTAAGAATTAATTTCAAGACGATGCTGGATCACCGAGGGCAGTATCCGCATGCCTCTTTAACAAGTCGGCTTCCGAGGAACGGCCTCGTGCCAAGGGGACGATGATTTTCAGAACTTGGCACCGAAACGTAATTGCTTTTGCACGCTCGAAACGCCGTTGTCACTCCTCGGTGAGCATTGATGAGAGCTACGCGTGGTAACATCACCTACGGTGGTGACCACGACAACCACGACGATGATGGTAATGATGATGATGCGCTGGCAACCGAAAATATTTCTAATGAGACAAATTTACGTATAACGTATCTGTTGGCCGATCTTCATATGCGCCCACGGCATTTTCAAACGAGCATCGACTGAATGAAAATGGGTTCGGTACAAACATTTTACATTCCACTGACATCCAAAGCGAAAATCTTGTATACACACGTCTTTCGTGTCTGATTAATCACCTGGTACATATTATTTATAGCTGTAAACTTATCTTTTGAGAATAGCGATTTCTCATTTGAGCATCGATTCCTTTCCGATCTCCAAAGCATTGTTCAATTCTTTATCCATGTGTACAAGAATACAGATTTGCATAAACATTTCTCAGTTTATTTATAAGTTAATGATACGATATGAATCAGATTTATTTTATTTCGCTAATTAGAGATCATTCTTTAAAAATGTTCTTACTTATGAGAAAAATATTCAGCTGTAGGATCATTGATAAATTATATAATCGACTGTTTCAATTCTAGACTGAGATCTTTCTTAAAAGTTAGTAAGGAACCTTTTACTTTTTGAAACAAGACCAAGATTAGAATATAAAAGTTCCAAAAACCGCAGCGAGGTAAGAATAATTTGCCTTATGAACTATACGAAGAAAATATTATAACTGGACAGCTTGAATATTAATAGAATTTGAGGTAAACAATGCTTTGTCATTGTTTATATCATTATCGGTATGTTGATACGACTAAACAGAGTTAGTACAGACAGTTTTGGAATGTTTATGGAGTCAAGTAGAATAATATCCACGGAACAGCCGTATCCTATTCGCATTTGCAGAAAATGACCACTGACCTATTTTCTCGAATCTGGAAAATGCATGAGAATCGTTGATGAATCGTCTTGAAAGAGTCCAAAGGCTCGTTATATTTTTGTTGTTAGAGCAAACCAGGTGGAAGGTGGTGTTGTAATGGTTTGCAATGCGTGGGCAGCCGAATCTAAGAACAGCGACGTGTCTGAAAATTGCATGTAGATGTACTTTTTTATCGCATAGGAATTACTTGCTCGAAGATAGATACTCGTGGGGAGAAGATTTGCATAATCAATGCTCGTTTGATGACATTGGATTGTATCCGCGATAATGAAATCTTTACTCGGTAAACTACGGAATGTTAATATATTTGTTAAGATAAATAATATCCAATCTTTTTACACTTTCTAGCGTTTCATGAATGAACGTGATATTTACATGATACCGGTTTTCTCATCTTTTATATTTCCTCCTACATTTTCTTCTTAATCGGAAATCCGAAACGTAATGTCTATGTTATTCGAATCTTTAAATATACCGGAGGAAACCGCGATTGTTGTTGTAACGAGTGAAAATAATCCACGATCCAGTAATACACCAACGACCACCGCGTTCCGATGATATAATTTAAGATATGTGATCAATGTGTACAGGTGATCATGCAATTCGAATTGCAATCTTGTGTGATTTAGCGTCGGCCTTCCGACATCACGGAGGACCCACTTATAACATATTTCATTTTTCGTCGCGTCGCTCTATTTTTGCGCCCACCAGTTTTCTAGCTGGTTTACCAGACGCTGTGGATGTCTTTATACCGGGACGGAAAAGCCGCGGCACTTCAGGTATCCGTCGTCCGCCGTGCGAGATATCCGTCACCATGGTAAGAGCCGCGTAAACGTTTGCCTTCGTCGTCGTCGAGTCTCTCACTTTGTGTTCGAATCGTCGTTTACTCGTCTTCGCATAAAAATGATTGCCTTATTAGTGATTTTCTTTTATAAAAGTGAATAAAAAAACGAAATTTGCATGTACACAGTAAATAATCGTGAGAAGGAATAGTTGCCGAAGATTAATATTAAATAAAGAGAAAAGATTTGCTGGAGATTGATTATACATACGATCTTTTTTATGAAAAAACGTGATGCAAATTGAATTGTTGCTTTACAGGAGGAAGATGAGCAAAAAACGGCTGTGATGCGAAAAGCGTTCCAAATGTTCGATACGACGAAAAGCGGCTTCATCGACACGCTGAAGATTTCAACGATATTGAACACAATGGGTCAACTATTTGACGATGCAGATTTGAACGCTATCATCGCGGAGAACGATCCAGAAGGGACTGGTAAGGTGAACTTTGATGGCTTCTGCAGAATTGCTGGTCGATTCTTAGAAGAAGAAGATGCCGAGGCGATGCAGGAAGAATTGAAAGAGGCCTTCCGTTTGTACGATCGCGAAGGAAATGGATATATCACAACGGCTACGTTAAAGGAAATTCTTGCTGCTCTGGATGACAAACTCACTAGCGCGGATTTAGATGGTATAATTGCTGAAATTGATACTGATGGATCGGGAACAGTTGATTTCGATGGTATGTACTTGGTTCTTTTCTTCATTTTCATTGCAAAATTCTCAAATTGAATTATCATTGCCTTGAGTAATTAGATTCTACGTGATTATTATATTTTTAGAATTCATGGAGATGATGACTGGAGAATAATCATGGTTTGAAACAATTGGCAGAGCGACATCGAAGACAATACATTTAAAATATTATTTTAATATTTTTGTTGGCACTAGAGTATCTTGAAACTTGTTTAATAAAACGGTGATATACATTTTTCATTTGTTAATTATTAAAAATCCTACTCCACTTAAATCTGTAATTCGAAAGAGTAAGTTGTTGTATTTGAAAGATGCAAATAAGGTGTACATGCAGAAGACCAGATTTTATAATAAACATTTGCTCTTCACGGCAATTTATTCATTATAATTGATACATCAATAAATCTTTTCTTTAATTATTAACATTAATAACATCTCGTGCGCGATAAGTCCGTCGTATAAACCATCTTCACACGACTTCTAACAAGGCGCACTTCGCCGTAGGAACATTTATGGCTGAGTGATGTCGTTGGTGGGTTGACCTTGGTGGAAGACGAGAACGTCTTGCACGAAGATGTTGGAAACGCTGAGAGCACCAGGAGCCAACGGTCTTTCCAGAGGGAAGCCGAGAGGTTTGCCATCAAGGGAGATGGCACCACCAATGATTTCAGAGATTGGTTTGTTCTGGTAGTATTCGCTGACAGATGGGTCCTGAACAGTTTGTGCTTGTGCGTAGATTCCTTGGAAGCCACCAGCGTGTTGTTGTCCGCTGGCGACAATGCCACTTCCTGAGATTCCACCTTGGACTTGAGAGTTTGGCCAAGATTGAACTCCTCCCATACCTTGGGCTCCTTGCATGCCATATGGAACATTCACTCCTTGTAAACCTTGTCCGATTCCCCAACTTTGTGATGACACTCCTCCTTGCAGAACAGCAGACAGGCCTTGTACTCCGCCTTGAATTCCGCCTTGTTGTGTACCCTGAACTCCTTGAACACCTTGGACGCCAGCTACACCTTGAACACCAGCTGCGCTTTGGACTCCTTGAACACCTTGGACACCAGCTACACCTTGAACGCCAGCTACACCTTGGACGCCAGCTACACCTTGGACACCAGCTACACCTTGGACACCAGCTACGTTTTTGACGCCAGAAACAGCTTTGACGCCAGAGACACTTTTGACACCTTGAACACCTTGAACACCTTGAGCACCTTGTGCACCCTGGAGACCTTGCGCACCAGCCAGACCAGATAGTGCTTGCAATCCTTGTTGTGCAGATTGGACGACAGATTGGGCAATGTGAGATGGAGACCAGCTGTTAATATGTTGTCCGTGATGCAATTGCTGCTGTTGTTGTTGTTGTTGTACATTCCAAATCATTTGAGCACCCTGGCCCTGATGTTGTCCCTGTTGTCCTTGTTGAGCTGCTGCTGTTGCTGCTTGTATTTGTTGTTGGATCTGTTGAGCTTGTTGTTCTATTTGTTGTTGGCTTTGAACGGCGATATGTTGTCCGTGTAATCCTAAGGATTGTGAACCACCAACACCAGCAGCGTTAACAACTCCAACTCCTTGGATACTGTATGTCATGTCTTGTCCTTGGCCAACAGGGTTCTGGATTTGAGCATTGGGATACTGTCCGTGGTATCTGGTGTAGACATTAGCATAGTGATTCCTGACAGCTGTAAAAAAGAAATTACATATATGGTTAGTAACATTATATAATGATCGCCGAGTTTTTATTATTATTGATAGACCACCATCTATTTGTTGCTGAGCATTGGCCAAATTCTCAGGAAGAACCTCAACGTTTTGTTGAACTCCACCGCCCATTTGCCAAAGTTGTCCTTGTTGTTTCAATTGTTGGTATTGATTGGCATTCACGATTTGGTATTGTTGGGCTTGGTAGGACAAGTTTTGTTCGGGGATTACTGGTCCGTACGGCATATTAAGTGGGTTTGAAGAAGAGATTACAACAAGGAACTGAAGAGGGAAACCTTGTTGTTGACCTTTGGGAAGAGACAACCTAGCAGGGAAACTGAAGATTTGGTGTGGCTATAAAAATACGATTAATTATGATTAATTACAATTTCATTAAAACATTTTTTTTCAGAAAAGTCGATATAGAGACGATTTACAAACCTCAGTAATAAAGAATGGTTCCTGAGATCGGATAGCAGCATTAACACCTTGTTGAATTTCAGAAGTAGATGGCCAGTCAGGGCTCTGTCCAGGAGCTTGCTGGGAGTTCCTAATGATGATGTTCTGACCAGAGTGAACTAAACACGAAATATATTAAATATCGAAAATAAATTGATCATAAATAAATAATTCATAGTTAGAAGAAATATTGAAACTTACGGTTTTGGATGAATTGGTCAAGTTGAACAAAGAGATGTCGACTCTGAGAGATACTAATTGGTTTGCCTTGGTAGTCGTATTTGGGTCCAAGGAAGACACGAACAACTGCGCTTGGTACATTTTGTTCACTGTGAACCATGACTTTGTATTGGTAGGGTTGATGGTCTAATCTTTTGAGATAAGCTTTAACGTTTTGCTGTTGTTCCTGTTGTTGATCTTGTTGTTGCTGCTGCTGTTGTTGTTGTTGGTTAGATTGTCCAGTAACGCCGTTGAGGTCGATGTAATAGTCGCTGAAAAGAGTGACCAGCTGGCTAACATCAACGTTCTGGATGGTAACGCCAGGAAGGACAAGATCGTTGTACTGGTAGGCAGGCAAAGACTGTTGATATTGTTGGTAAAGGTTCATGACCTTTTTGAACAGTTGGTAGAAGGCTGGATCGTGAACAGCAGTTTGTCCAAGTTCAAGAGCCGACGGTGTGTAGTCCCAAATGTTCTGAGCTTCAGGAGCATTTCCAAGGAGTTTGCGAGCAGCAGCCTGGAGGCTTCCATAATACCTTGGGTTGACGCTTCTACCAGTTCCTTCAATCAAGTCACCAAGAATGTTCATACCCTGTGGTTGGTACAAAGAAAGGAAGGCGCCTTGTGGGGTAATAACATTGCCAGAGTCAATGGCATCCATCAGTCTTTGTTCCAGACTAATAACACTTTGGATGAGTTTATTCTTTTGAGGTTGGAGTTGAAGATTCTCTGGACGACCAGCAAATTCAAGTCCATTGAGAACGCGAAGATGTGGTTGGTAAGGAGCTTGTACATTTTCGTAGTTAATTTCAGAGATTGGACCAAGCCCGTTCGAAAGACGGTTGAGTTCGTAGTGAGCCAAAAGTTGTTGATGAAGATACAGATATTGAGCTCCATGAGCAATGGTGCTTTGTTGATCCTGTTGTCCTCCTTGTTGTAAGTATTTCCCTACAATCTGTTGTTGATACTGTTGTTGAGTCAGAGGCTGTTGTTGCTGTTGTTGTTGTTGTTGTTGGTCCTGCTGTTTCAAGACAGATATTGATTATATTAACTTTATAGTGCTTCTTTAAATATGTAGGAAGATATTCAATTATAATTTTTAAATTATTTACTTCTCCCAAAATGTATCCAGCAAGGTTGATATAGGAGTAGTATGCTGCAAGACCAACATCTTGAGTGAAGTAAGACAGTTGATGTTCATCTTGAGACAAGAGTGCAGAGTAGTTAACAGGGATGAGAATATTCTGAATTCCTCCTTCCTGGACTTTTTGAATGGCAATGTTTTGGGCTTCTTGGATGATTCTAGCATCCAAGTGATACTGGGGCAAGATTTCATAAACAGGTGGCAGGATGACTCCTTGGGTGTCTGAGCGAGTCAGTACAGCACCAACTAAGGCCTATTGGATGAACAAGAAAATGATTTCATGGAATACATGTGCAAGATTAGAGGCAATATAAAATATCTTCTCTTCTTGTAGCTTCTACATACCTTAACAAATTGTCCTTCATTAACATGAACACGGGCCCATGCAGCAGTCTTAAGAAAAGTCTGATAGTCCTTGGCACCCAATAGAATCCTGTAGAGTAGGGAAACTTCTTTCCTAAGCTGGCTGATTGAATTAGTGAACACTGTACCCTGAGGTTGAACTAAACCAGCTTTCACAGCACCCGCATAGTACATTACTATGATTGGGTTGTTGTACTGGTGAGCATTGCTCTCAATTTCATAAGTTTCACCAAGGTTCTGAAGTTCTTGGTTCGGGATTGGCTGTGAGATCTTCTGCAGGAGTTGGATGATGTCCTGCTGTTTGCTAAGGAGATTCTGGTCAGCTGAAATAAGTGAAAGTATTTCTTTGGTATGAAAGAGGAATTAAATATTGTGGAATTTGTTATATTACACATATGCCTTTAACTGAATATGTTACCATTATAGAAATATAATAAAACAAATCAAACAGTTTAATTAGAATCAAAGTGTCAATTATAAAATGTTACTATAGAATCAATTATACTTTCAGAAGAAAGAGAAGCGGAAGATGATTTTGAGTAAACCAGTGGTCCAGAATTATTCCCATGATACTATTACCAAAAGTTTTAAAATTACAAATTTCAGGATAGTGATTTCAAATAGTAACTTACCAGCATGTTGTTGTTTGACATTTCCACAGGCCCCTAAGGCCACCAGAGCCAACAGGACAATTAAGCACCTCATTGTATTATTCAATGATGCAATGCGATGCTGTCTGCCTCTTCGACCAGTCTTTTATACCCGAATCCTATCAAAGAAGGGATTTATCGGCGACCTGTCGACCCACCTCCCTCAAGATTTCGCAGTCTACCCGCGATATCCTTAACTATTTCGAACGTATTCGACGCATTCGATCGAAGGTTAAATGATGAATATGTATATATACATATATTATCATGAATAGATTATGCATTATTCTTCTACCAAAAATTCGGGGGTCTCTTTATCTGTGACTGTTTATCCAAACATTCTTGAGAACTTTTGCTTTCTACTCTAGTAAAATATTGCTATTTAACGAAGCTGCATTTACTTTATATTCATCCAAATAGTATTCAAATGAAAATAATTAGATTAGAAGTACATGCGCTACTTAATTATATTACTTTCATGATAGTTACTTCACAATCGTAGCTTAACTTAAGAAATACAAAAACAGGTCTAAAAAAGAAATATACAATATATACATAGGAAGTTATAATGTCATATTAGTAAGTGGATAAAGTGAAGTAAAATAAAATAAGCTTCATTAAATACCTATATTTAATAGATTTTACTATGTTTGCATCTTACTTATTCTTGCATCATCCACATATTTATATGTAATAT